TCGATACCCTAAACCCCAAACCCTAAACTCGTGACCACTAGGGGATGCAGGAAAGGATCCCTCTACTAGTCCTTGTAAAGGGCCTAAACCCCAAACCCTAAACCCTAAACCGTGTTTTGTTGAGTGTATGCAGGATGAACCGTGGGAACCGTGGTATATATTAGGTATCCACTTTGGGGGGAGATCAGAAAAGAAAAAACCAGGGGCCAGGAAAAGCCTCAGGCCTCAGTTCGTTCCTGAAGGGCCATTTGCCAGGCTGAACCACAACTGCCTAAACTGTAATTTGGGGATTCCAAACTTGGGGGTGCCTTTTTGGAGTCTTTACAAAAGCAGGACTATAGTGCTTTGGGTCTAGGTCTAGGGTTCCAAAATTTGGGGTCCCTATAAAGTAGGATTCTGGGGTTTTGGGTCTGTTGTGGTGTCCCCCTATAAAGGGATACGATCAAGTAAGCCCTAAACTCTAACAGCAACCCGCAAATCATAAACCCCCAACGCCCAAGCCCAAAGTTCCATTACCCATAATCCCCACGATGCACATCGTAGTTTCCATTTTTCTTCCATTCACCCAGAACGAAGCAGGTCAATTCTGTCTCGGGTCGCAAGCCCTAAGCCCTAAACCTACAGCCGAAACACTAAGCCCTAAGCCCTCAACCGAGTGTGCTGGTAGCAGGACCTACTAAGATCCTACGAGTTTAGGATCCCGGAATCCTGAGCCTTAATTCCTAAACCTCAAATCCTAAGCCCTAAGTCCTAATACCTAAACCGGGGTTTGGGACTTAGGAGTTTAGGGGTTTAGGGTTTCGGGGTTTAGGGTTTGGGGGTTCAGAAGTCTGAGTGGAATAGCAGGGCTTTGGGAGACTACTTAGTTGGCTATTTCCGGCATGTAGATCTCGTCCCGCTCGCGCATGAAACTTGAACAGGCTGGAAAGCGAGGGACGAGTCGTCATCATCAACAACAACAACAAAACAACCCTAAACCTTAAACAATACACCCTTAAATCCTAAACCCTTAAACCCTTAAACCCAAAACCAATAAACCCTAAACCCTTAAATCCTAAACCCTTAAACCCTCAAACCCTAAACCCAATAAACCCTAAACCCTTAAACCCTAAACCCTAAGCAACAATCAGAGCAATAACCTTGAACTGCTAAGCCGGCAGAAGCATGAGACGGGGTGGAACTTGCAATTTCTGTTGGGCAATTTAAAGCGACCTCACCCGACCTCACCCTAAATGGTGGTTTATATAGCGAGTAGTACCAAAATGGTCTGAACTTGGGAATTGAAATTATTCTGAATTACCCTGTTTCGGTTGTAGTGAGGAAGCTTGAACAAAGTAAAGTAGGAAGCTCATTTCTTCCAAACCTCTAGGTATTTCGGATTTCGGGTTCAGGGTTTAGGGTTTCAAGGTTTAGAGTTTAATTGTTCTTACTGTATAGTACGCCCCAAACCTTGTTGTAGTTCATTAGCTCTTTTGGAGGGCCTGTCGTCTGTCCTGTTCTCGGCACCAGCGGAGCCATGCCGCCAAAGGCGAGCACGCGACGCAAATGTATCTGTGGTGATGTTGGAGAAGCACTTTTTTCTCAGGTTCCAGCCTAAGCCCCGCGGTTTAGGGTTTAGGGTTTAGGCCCTAAAGCCTAAAGCATTAAATCCTAAGCCCTTAGCCCTAAATTTTAAACCCCTAAACACCACCTGAAATCTTTAAGCAATCCAAGGCATGCTGTTTGCGCTGGTGCTAGCCGTGGTTTTGTAATGCAGCAGATTTGGGCAACTTTTTTCATTCGTTTCAAGGGGTTTAGGGTTAAGGATTTAGGGTTTAGGGTTTACGGGGTTATGTTGGGCTGTACACGGATTATCTAGGAAAGAAACAAACTTACATAGGACGCAGGGATGGTGGGCTTAGGGCTTATTCGGTTTAGGGCTTAGAGTTCAGGGACAAGGGCTTAGGGCCTTTATTTTAGGGGTTACGGCCTGGGCTTTGGATGTAGTGTGATAGCGTAGTAGGGTCGTTCTGCGCTTTCATCATAGTTTGCGACTCAAGCAAAATTGCGACGTCCGAGATCCCTAAACCCTAAACCCTACCCCGACACCCAACAACCACGAAACCCTAAAACTTTAGAACCTAATTGTCCATGCTTTTCTTTCACCTCTAGAAACCACGAAACCCTAAACCTTTAGAACCTAATTGTCCATGCTTTTCTTTCACCTCTAGAAAACCGTATATAACCCTTGTAAACCCCTAATATATTCCTTGCAAAGGCCTTATAGAACCCCAAAAGCCCAGGTCTAAAGTGCCGCACCTCCGTGGAGAACATAGCATCGTGCCCAGGGACAGCGAAGCGAACGTCGACCCAGCAGTGGCTGGGGATAATGGAAAATAAAATGGAGAACTACTGGGGCTTTATAGGGGTATGTAGGGGTATGTAGAGTTTAGGGTTTGGAGTTTAGGGTTTAGGGTTTGGGGTTTAGGGTTTAGGGTTTGGGGTTTAGGGTTTAGGGTTTGGGGTTTAAGGTTTCCCAAAATTAGGGGTACTCTTTCAAGGCCCCCATAATAGGGACTATGGTTATTTTGTTTGCACCCTGAGATCTCCAGCTTGCACCCTTGACCTGAACTCAAAACTTTAAGGGTTTAGGATTTAAGGTTTGGGGTTTAGGATTTAGGATTTAGGTTTTAGGATTTAGGGTTTAGGATTTACGTAGGGTTTAGGATTTAGGGTTTAGGATTTAGGGTGTAGGGTTTAGGATTTAGGATGTAGGGTTGAGGGTTTAGGGGCTTTAGACCCTAAACCCTGAACTGCTGTAGCTTGAGGTTGAAGAGGGAGAGGACATTTGCATCTCCATGATGCTGCTGGGTTGCATGGGCTTTATGATGGCTACTTTCTACCTCGTACACTGGCCGGATGACGACATTCAGGAGATCACCTGGGAAATTATTAGCTCCACCACCAGCATCTTCGGCGCCTTGCTCTTGCTCCAGGGCTGCAACCCTAAACCCTAAACCCAAAACCCTGAACCCAAAAACCCAAAAACCCAAAAACCTAAACCCAAAACCCTAAACTTATTTTGGGCAGCTCAGAGGTTCCAGGGCTGCAATCGGGTAGTAAACTACTACTTCCTTGATCAAGTCACGACGTGGTACCAGATCGCAGTCAACGGGATCCACATGATGCTATGGTTTTGCGTGCTGCAGCTCCTGGGCTCTTGTTTGTAGGGTTTAGGGGTGTAGGGTTTAGGGGTTTAAGGTTTAGGGGTTTAGGGTTTAGGAGGTTAGGGTTTAGGGGTTTAGGGTTATTTTCCTGGGTTGCTGTTTGTAGGGTTTATAGGGGTTTAGGGCTTAGGTTTTACTGTTAAGGAACTTAATTTAAGGTACTATCTTGGGGAGATCCTAGTATTTACTATATATATATATAACTAACCATCGGGGTAACTCAAATTAAGTTCCTAAACCCTAAATAACCCTATACCCCCTATATACCCAGTAGGGTAACTTAAGTTACCCTAAACCCTATATAACCCTATAGAATCCCATAGAACCCCTCTATACCCAGTAGGGTAACTTAAGTTCAGTTCCTTAACCGCGGCCTAGGCTCGTCTTGGCGTACTACTCTGGATCCTTGGGGCAGCAGAAGGTTCCCGCCTTAAGGCGTGAAGCCTTGGCCCAGGCAGAAACCGGGGTAATATTAGGGGTATATTGGGATAATGGAAAAGAAAATGGAAATCCTAGGTCCCTTAAAAGGGATATGTACGGGGATTATATAGGGGGATATATTGGGGTCATATTTGGATACTGGAGAAGAAAATGGAAACTAATGTAGGGTTTAGGGTCATATTTGGATAATGGAAAAGAACATGGAAACTAATGTAGGGTGTAGGGTTTAGGGAATGTAGGGTTTCGGGTTTAGGGTTTAGGGTTATATTTGTATAATGGAGAAGAAAATGGAAACTAATGTAGGGTGTAGGGTTTAGGGTATATTGTGGTATCGCTTTTGAAGCCACATGAAACCGTAAACCAAATACCCTAGCCTTGTCTCAGGCAGAAAGCTCTGACGGCGAAATGAGGTTGGCGCACTTGCAGCGCGCGGAGAAGCATTTGCATCTCTGACCCGTTTCCCATTTTTTTGATTCAAGGTTTATTCGAGGTCTATTCAAGGTTTAGGGTTTAGGGTTTAGCGTCTAGCGTGTAGGCTTTAATGTATTAGGGACTAGGGTTTAGATGCTTTAGGGATTGATTTGGCTTCTTAGCATGGGTTTCCCTACTAGCCACCTCTATACTAAGCCGCCCAGGTTCCCGCTTAATTTACCTTAATCAGGCTCCCCTAAATACTCTTAATCTAATTAAGCGGGGGGGGGGAACCTAAACAAGGTACTATGGGGACCCCAGGCCCTAAACCCTAAGCC